TCAGGGTGGCCCCTCCTCCGCCCTCCCGGACGAGCCCACCGGCCCCGACTCCCAGCGGCTCCCGGGCAACCTACCCACAGCGGCCTCATCGCGAGCCCCGTCCCGGCGGCAGGTGCTCTCACGCTCTCCCTCTCCAGCTGTTCTCTTCTGCACCACATGGTGCGTCATCAGCACCACGTCCACGTGCCTCCGTCCTGTCCCGCGGCTGAGCCAGCAAACGCGCTCAGGGCCGCCGGGGCCTCACGCACGATAGGGGCCAAGCAGTTAGGACGAACTTATTTACCACGTTAATTAAGTGGTCTAGTTAACATGGAACATCAATTCTCCAATCACATCTCGGCTGATCTTTCTCAATTAGCAGCCTGACGTCTGCTGACAGGGGCCTCCTGCTCGGGCGCATTAAGAGCGGCCGCGAGCGGCGGAGTGGAGGGCAGGGACGCGGGAGACGAGGGAGGGAGCCCGCCGCTCATTAGCTGCTGAGCAACGAGAAGCCCTCCTCTGACATCACCAGGGAACGAGGTGCGAGGGGCTTAATGACGTGCCCTAACCGAGCCCCGTCCTCCTCGGACAGCCTCCTCCAGGAAGCCGGGTCTCCGCTGCAGGGACGGGACCCACTGGACACGGAATGGGCGGAGACATGCACCGACAAGCGACTCCCAGGACGGAGGGCCACACGGAGACTGTGACAGCTGCTGCCACAGAAAGGCTGCAGCCAGGGAGCAGGGCCTGCCTGCTGTTCCCTCTGCCCGCAGGCGGGTTGAGAGCACAGCTCTCACACGGAGCATCGGAGCTTTTTCTGAGGACACAAAGGGAAGGAGACGCACGCGGGTTCAACAGCAGCCACACAGCCCACCCGAACCTCCATCAGACCAGTCATCGTGCACGTAATTAACACAGCATTCCCGAAAATGACACCGCTGATGCGTCAGAGGCAGAGAGGTGGTGAAATGTGCAGAAATGCAATCAGAGACGACCCGTCTTTACCGTGTGAGCAAAGCATCCCACCAACACGCCCCACCTCCCACAGCACACAGTCACACCACTAAGACACCCCAGGTCCCACAGCACGCAGGGCACCACTAACCCCCCCCCCTCCCACAGCTCACAGTCACACCACTAAGCCCCCCACCTCCCACAGCGCCCAGTCACACCACTAAGCCCCCCACCTCCCACAGCGCCCAGTCACACCACTAAGCCCCCCACCTCCCACAGCGCCCAGTCACACCACTAAGCCCCCCACCTCCCACAGCGCCCAGTCACACCACTAAGCCCCCCACCTCCCACAGCGCCCAGTCACACCACTAAGCCCCCCACCTCCCACAGCGCCCAGTCACACCACTAAGCCCCCCACCTCCCACAGCGCCCAGTCACACCACTAAGCCCCCCACCTCCCACAGCGCCCAGTCACACCACTAAGCCCCCCACCTCCCACAGCGCCCAGTCACACCACTAAGCCCCCCACCTCCCACAGCGCCCAGTCACACCACTAAGCCCCCCACCTCCCACAGCGCCCAGTCACACCACTAAGCCCCCCACCTCCCACAGCGCCCAGTCACACCACTAAGCCCCCCACCTCCCACAGCGCCCAGTCACACCACTAAGCCCCCCACCTCCCACAGCGCCCAGTCACACCACTAAGCCCCCCACCTCCCACAGCGCCCAGTCACACCACTAAGCCCCCCACCTCCCACAGCGCCCAGTCACACCACTAAGCCCCCCACCTCCCACAGCGCCCAGTCACACCACTAAGCCCCCCACCTCCCACAGCGCCCAGTCACACCACTAAGCCCCCCACCTCCCACAGCGCCCAGTCACACCACTAAGCCCCCCACCTCCCACAGCGCCCAGTCACACCACTAAGCCCCCCACCTCCCACAGCGCCCAGTCACACCACTAAGCCCCCCACCTCCCACAGCGCCCAGTCACACCACTAAGCCCCCCACCTCCCACAGCGCCCAGTCACACCACTAAGCCCCCCACCTCCCACAGCGCCCAGTCACACCACTAAGCCCCCCACCTCCCACAGCGCCCAGTCACACCACTAAGCCCCCCACCTCCCACAGCGCCCAGTCACACCACTAAGCCCCCCACCTCCCACAGCGCCCAGTCACACCACTAAGCCCCCCACCTCCCACAGCGCCCAGTCACACCACTAAGCCCCCCACCTCCCACAGCGCCCAGTCACACCACTAAGCCCCCCACCTCCCACAGCGCCCAGTCACACCACTAAGCCCCCCACCTCCCACAGCGCCCAGTCACACCACTAAGCCCCCCACCTCCCACAGCGCCCAGTCACACCACTAAGCCCCCCACCTCCCACAGCACGCAGTCACACCACTAAGACCCCACCTCCCACAGCACGCAGTCACACCACTAATACCCCACCTCCCACAGCACGCAGGCGCACACAGAGCTGGTGCTGACGGAGAGCGAGACCCTCGGGGTGGACTGCACTCTCCCTCGCACATCACCAGAAATAAGGCACCGACAGTGGCTCTGCACCCTGGCCTCAGTGACGAGGCACCTGGACCAGGGCTGTTACGGCGAGAAATCCACGCTTCCTGTTGCTAGCTCGCCTTCCTGACGCTACACTTAATGGCAATTCTCAACCTGGTGTGATCACCCACAGAAAGGCCCAGAAGTTCATGGTTACCGACTGCGAGGAAGCGTGCCGGGACATGCTCTTACCCGTGTGCTCGCAGATGAAGACCACGAAGAAAGGGGTGACCAGGTCATTGATGCCCTGGACGTAGCCGCTGGCGGGGTGACGAATAGCCCATATGAACAGGATCCTCTCGAAAATCTGGAAGAGAATGGAGCACGTGGTAAAGCCAAGAGTGAGCCATCAGAGGCATTAGGACGCACTCTTTCACTTAAATACAAACTGCCCGCTTCCCGCTGTCACTGCTGTTAAAGTATCAACAAACGCCAACTGGTGTCCACCTCTTCCTACAACTCCAACCATCTTACTTTCATCGACTCACAGGCAACATGCAGTGCTCCCCCAGCCCGGCGCCCACCGCACGCGCAGCCCACACCGAGGATGCTGCTCTCGGCTCCTCCAGGCCCTCGGGTACCATCCGCACACGGCTGCCCGGCCTGGGCCGGAGGGCAGCAGTACCCGGCCTACCAGCGACCCAGCCTTGGCAGGGCACATGGCCCGTGGCAATCAGAGCCACGGATGCCTGGTCTGTACCAGACAGAGTGACCACAGGGGGCGGCCCAGCCAGAGGGGTAGGAGCAGTGCAAGAGCCACTCTGTGAGACACTGCTGAAGGGAGGGCACGCCCTCTCCACCGCCCTGTCAGTGCTGTCGGTGGAATGCAGATGCCGCAGGCGCCAGAGCAGCCAACGTGGACACGCGGGGAAGCCGAGCACAGAGGAGCGATGCTAACGGAGCCTGGTGGGCCTGCCGCAGGCGCCCGTGTCCAGGCCCAGCCTCCGCTTGCAGAAACCACACCTGGGTTCTGCCTATCAACTAACACAAGACCTAGGTTCCCACGACATCCAGCCCCTCCTCACGACATCACCCCCCACAGAGCTGTGCCCGAGGCCCCGTCCCCGCTCGGGCAGCTGCAGGGCCCCGCCTCCCTGGGGTTGGACAGCCCTGCAGGGGCCTGGACGGGCCTGCAGCTCCCAGAGCAGCCACAGGAGCCCCACAGACATGAAGGGGCGGGACCACCGCAGGGCATGGCGCCTCGAGCCAATGGGATCGAGGTCTCCGACGTCCCAGACAAGCAGAATGACAGACACCGACGGTGGTGACGGGCTCTCCTCTCCGACCTGAAAGCCGGCCTCCAAGGTGCGCCAAGCGGTAGGAAACCATAAAACGAACCCAAGTACCGAGGCAGACTCCACTTCCCGTTAAAAAGCGAGCAAAAGAGAGGTCATCGCTTGTGGCGCAGATACAATAAGCACAGCCATTGAGAGACAATCACAGCGCTGCTCCCAGAACGGCTCTTCCGTAGACACGGCCGTTCCGCTGTGCTCTGTGACTGCACGTCCTTGTGCCTTAACAAGGCTGGACGCGCGCCCGGCCGGGGGCTCAGTGCTTGAACGTCGACCTACGAACCAGGAGGCCAGGGCACAGGCCTGAGTTGCAGGCTTCATCCCCAGTACAGGGTGTGCAGGAGGCAGCTGAGCGATGATGATTCTCTCTCCTCATTGATGCCTCTCTCTCTCTCCCTCTCCTTTCCTCTCTGAAATCAATAGACACATATTTTAAAAATTACAGGAATAACAACTCTGGGTTCTTGAACACGTTATTGTTCCAGATGCCTCGGTCTGAAGTGCAGCTACGGGAACAGGCGACACTTAGCAAGTATCTCAGACAAGGAAAGCCGCATTTTAAAGAGACACCATTTATAATAGCAACAAAACATGGCAACGAGGAATAAGCCTAAAAACACATACATAGACCTGTTATGAGGAAAATTTTGAAACCTCATTGAAAGGCATTAAAAGCGGCCTCCCAACGGGGCATTAGCATGTTCACACCCACCAAGGCAGCAACCTCCCTCCGCGCCGGCGCCCTGGAGGAGTCTGGCCTGTGGCCTCATATACATGCACACGAAGGTCCCACACAAAACGTGGGAAACACCCACTGTCCAGCCACAGGTCAAGGCCACAGAAAGCGTAGGCCAGCGACGAGGGCGACTACACAGCGAGGCAGACGAGCCGAGCTCAGAAACGACGCAGAGACTAGACCAGCCCACATCACCGCCTGGCAGTGTCGCTGTCACATGACATGCACGCGCCTCGTGAGGAATCACCAGCATGAAGTGGGCGGGGCTCCACGTGAGGCTGAGAGCAGAGGCAGCGCAGCACGGGGCTCCTTTCAGAGCAGTGAGAGACCCCTTCAGCGACGCCGTGCGCACGGCCTGGGGTACAGCGCCTGCCCTGCCCATGCGGGAGAGTGGGCGCCGAGCCCAGCGAAGGGGACCCCTGAGCGAAGCGGGCCCGGGGCCGCTCTTACCTCCGTCACTGCGGGCTGCAGCGTCAGCGCCTCGGGACTCATCCGTGGGATGTCGATGTGGATCTGGAGATGGAGGAGAAGAGACAGGATGGTAACCAGCCCAGGTGTAGCCGGAAGCGGACGCTGGTGCGCTGCCCCCGGCTGTCTGCTCTGAGACGCTGGCCTCGCCGAGCGTGGCTCGGATGGGCTCCCGAGTCCTGGCATGACGGGCGGCTGACCTGCCCGCCCGAGCAGCGGCTGCCACGTGAGAGGACAGCGCAGGCCTCAGCCACTGGACACATGGTCCACAGCCATCAGCGAGTGTCGGCTCCGGACAGGGACGCGCACGTGCGTGCATCAGCCGCAGCTCAGCCGCGACAGTGCTTCTCGGACCCAGGCCACAGGAAGGTCACAGGAAAATCCACTCGCAGAGGGACACGCACAGCTCAGGAAGCCACCAAAACAGCATCAGGGCGTGAGCTGGCGGCACTCGGACTCCAGCACCCAACACCCACGAACATCCCCCACGGGCCCAGCTGTCACCACCCACCACCAGGGACACAGCCCAGCCGGCCAAGGGGACACCTGCACGGTGAACTCGGGTCCACGCCCCGTCCTTACAGGTGACCTGGGACCGCCTCCCGCCGGCCAGCCTGGGCCTGGGCACACCAGGCAGAGCTGTTACCCTCATGGCAACTGAATACCACCCTCACTGCGGTCCCAGCCACCTCCCCCGACGGACTCCCAACAGAAGGAGCTGGTGCACCTCCCGGAGAGATGCCAGCGTCACCGCCAAAGTCTTCTTCTTAAATAAAAATACATCAAAACATGTTCAAAACACTATCAACGCCAACTATTCTCTGAGACTAGCGGGGGGGGGGGGGAAAAAAAGGAATAAAGCAGGCGGGCTGTCCGCCCCCTGAGCAAGCGCCTTCTGTCTCAAACCGGCTTCCTGAGTGGCGGGTGCAGTGCCAGGCCTGGGAGCCGCCCGTGTGCCCGAGTGCAGGACAGGCTCCGGGCAGAGGGCGCCTGGAGGGCGGTGGAGGCGCTCCTGCCCCGAGTCGTCGTCATCCTCGTCGTCCTCCTCCTCCTCCTCCCCCTCCTCCTCCTCCTCCTCCTCCCTGAGGGAGCGGATCTTCCCTGGAGCCTCCCTGCGCCCGCCCGTGGGGAAGACACGTCCATGAGTCCACGTAACTGACAGGAGCTCGGGCGCCAGCAGAGGCGAGCCGGGCCTGGCTCCAACACACCCAGACCACGCTGACGGCAGTGACAGCGGGTGTGGCCAGCCCACGGGGGAACCGGCAAGGCTCCTTCCTTCACCTGGAGGCGGGGCTCCACGAGGAAGGGCTCGACAGGGAGATGCCCGTCTGAAAAAATGAGGGCCCCGTGGAGCTGGGCTGCGGCACAGCCGCGGGAACTCTGGCATCTCGGAGCCGGTGAGAGCTCAGGGTCTCCGAGCCAGGCCAGCAGCGTCCCCTGCCGCACTGGGAACCACAGAGCGGTCATCTGTTTCCATGCGCACCGTTTCCTAGGACACAGCGTGGCGGCCAGCGGGACACGGAGGGAAACACTGCCGCCTGCAGCCCCGCCAGGCGGAGCCCGCGAGGGACGGGAGGACAGGCCCACCTGCCTGTAGGTGTCCTGGTGGCCCTCGTCGTTCCGCGAGTCGTAGTAGTGCTCCACGAAGGCGAAGTACTCCTCCCGCTTCCTCTGCAGCGTGGCGGCTCTGCGCTCCGCATTGGCAGGAAGGTAGCCCTGCGGAGGCAGACGAAGGTGAGTGTGGTCCACGCCGACCACGCGTCTCCCTGGGAAGGCGCGAGTCCCGAGGGCCTCCCACCAGGGCTGCGGGGCCACCAGGGGAGGCCGGTGGGGACCAGCCTCACACTGCCACAGGCAGGGACGCCCAGGGCTCTGCGTGAGCCAGGCGAGCATGCGGGGCTCCTCCCTGTCCCCCCAATTTTAACTCCACTTATTGAAACAGAAGTTCTCAAAGGCACGTACGCCACATTGGCAATCAGAGCCCCCACATCCTCCTGATGCTCCCGTTCCTGAAGGAAAACACACATGCAAGTTGAGGCCTTTAGATAATTAAGCAAAACTAGGAATTATGCAGATGAGGTATATGCAAGCATGGGATGAATCCTAAACGACAGAATGACAGGGAACGTAACTGCTGCATTAGCATGCTGTGAAAACACTAATCACCAATGTCAACCCACACACGCAGGGACGCGGGTCCAAGCGGTCCCGGCGACACGACCAGCGCCCCCTGCGGCCACGTGCGCACCCCCAGAGGCGGGGACGCAGGACCCATGTCACCGCCTCTAACCATTCTACCACCAGGCAGGCGGGACCCGTTTCACCAGTTGAGCTCGAGGTTTCTGAAGCGTCATTTAAAAAGGGCCCAACCTGTGTGTCCCACAGAGCACGCTGTGCACAGCCGCCGCCTGCGCGAGTGCGAGCCTC